CTAAAAGAGCTGGTTACTACAATCAGAGCATCTAGACTGGAAGAGCTTACTACAAACATAATATTTTTACTAAAAGAGCTGGTTACTACAATCAGAGCATCTAGACTGGAAGAGCTTACTACAAACATAACATTTTTACTAAAAGAGCTGGTTACTACAAACACAGCATCTTGACTGGAAGAGCTCACTACAAACATAATATTTTTACTAAAAGAGCTACAAACACAGCATCTAGACTGGAAGAGCTAACTACAAACAAAATATTTTTACTAAAAGAGCTGGCTACTACAAACACAGCACCTAAATTGGAAGAGCTTACTACAAACAAAATATTTTACTAAAGAGCTGGCTACTACAAACACGGCATCTAAACTGGAAGAGCTTACTACAAACGGAACATTTTTACTAAAAGAGCAGGTTACTACAAACACAGCATCTAGACTGGAAGAGCTTACTACAAACGTAACATTTTTGCTAAAAGATCTGGTTACTACAAACACAGCATCTAGACTGGAAGAGCTTACTATAAACGTAACATTTTTACTAAAAGAGCTGGTTACTACAAACATAGCATCTAGACTGGAAGAGCTTACTACAAACATAACATTTTTACTAAAAGATCTGGTTACTACAAACACAGTATCTAGACTGGAAGAGCTTACTATAAACGTAACATTTTTACTAAAAGAGCTGGTTGCTACAAACACAGCATCTAGACTGGAAGAGCTTACTACAAACGTAACATTTTTGCTAAAAGATCTGGTTACTACAAACACAGCATCTAGACTGGAAGAGCTTACTACAAACATAATATTTTTACTAAAAGATTTGGTTACTACAAACACAGCATCTAGACTGGAAGAGCTTACTACAAACAAAATAGTTTTACTAAAAGAGCTGGCTACTACAAACACAGCACCTAAATTGGAAGAGCTTACTACAAACGTAACATTTTTGCTAAAAGAGCTGGTTACTACAAACTCGGCATCTAGACTGGAATAGCTTACTACAAACGTAACATTTTTACTAAAAGAGCTGGTTACT